TGTTTGATGATACTGGCCATTAACAGGAGATTAAAAGTTATCTTCATGAGACTCTGTTTTTCAAACAAACATAAAACCTGCAAGTCTCACTCTTGCAACACTCACCATTTTAAGGGATAGATGCTATACTCTGTGAGAGCTATAATCTGATGTGCTTGAAATTAAGCACACATCTAAGCGCTTTAGGGATTCTGTTCCCTCTCCCCATGCAGAGCTCCCCTGGATAAAGTCTATGATTCAGGCATTCCATGTGTGCCCCGAATTCTGCCCATAGGAATTACAGACATGAAAGGTCCATTTCACTATCTCCCAGCTGGTGCAGGATATTTCCCTATAGTATGTTCTACAGTGCTTTGTTCGGTCTGGTTTTTAAAAGTCGCAAATGATGGGGCTTCCATTTAAAAAAAATCATAATATTCTTCAGAAGCCTGGATTCTATTTAAACTAGTGAAAAAGTCAGTGTCTTCTAAAGATGGAGAATCCCTTCAGAAATGCCCTTGAACTGAGCTGCTAGAGAAAAAGCCTCTGTCACCCTTTTGAACTCTCCCTCCCCCCCAATGTCATTCCCCACCCAGGCACACACACAGAAAAGAGATCAGTAATGAGAGCTCACTAATGGATTGGCTTAAGTATAGAACAACATCCCATCACTGTTCTAGAAAATAATCAATCAAGCACTTAATTTTAAACATAAAAAGTAAGCTGCCTAGAGACTGTTAATAGATAACCAAATAAATTAGCAGTTGTAGGTGGGATTTGAAACTAGGTCAAATCTGTCTCTCACCATCTTTTTGAGTCTATTCTTACAAATGGTGTCTTTCAATTTATGCTAAATTTCACACCTTCTCATAATGGGAAATCCTCTTACAAGGGTTTGTGCATAAATTTTATACCTACTTTCATATATTGATCTGTAACTTGGCTTCCTATCAAACACTCAGTGAGGTTATGACAAATGTTAGAGGTGGGAGCAGAGCAGAGGGGAAACCCACATACATGTAAGAAAGAGAAAACACTTATCCATAAGAGAATAGACTGTACATTCATAGCCTACATGGATACTGGGTCATATTCCCCTAGGCAGAAAGTGACACAAGAAAGTGCTGCAAGTGATCTCCTGTGGCTTTGTTGGTTTTTCCTTATCTAAAAGTCTTGTTCAATTGTTTTAGCCAGCATATTATGTGATGAGTTAAGATTCCAAGGCCTGATTGTCAGAGTTGCCAATAACCCAATGGAAATGAGTGAATTATGGGGGTTCACATCTCTAAAAGACAGACCTAGATTGCATTGATTACTGAATGCTGTACAAAGGGATAAACTTCTACCCTAACAGAACAGCTTTGACTACTGGGATTCGTCACTTATCAAAACATGTGGAAATTCTTGCATGTGTAGAGAATCTACTACTCAATCACTGGGGAAAGGAGGAGGGAGGAAAGCACATCTAAACTGATTAGTAAACTTCAATCCTGACATATATAGCATGTACCACTTTCAGACACCATGCTACCCCATAGGTATAAAACACCATTATTTCCACTGAAAAGCAAAAGCACTTAGACTGGCTGAGTTAAATACTGCCGCATGTACACGTTCTTTTTATCACACAAAGAAAAAGGCAGACCATGAATGCTGAATATTGGTTTGTGGGGGGGAAAAAAATCTACCTTTACATATTCAGAACCATCTCAATTATTTCTTTCAAAAAAGTTTAATGCTGACATCCATCTTAATGACAACAGGTACACCAGATTATACAAATAATTAATTTTACACTAAATGGAACTTCCTAGTCAATCTAATATCCATGTCTTGCATTTCAAGCAACTATTGGAACATGTAAGGTATTAAGAAATAAAAGGAACTATTATCTCTTTCACATCTTTTAGTTCATGCTAAGTTCCAACATTTTGGGTAGGATAGAGGGGAAAGTTAAAAGGAGGCCCTGAATACCTTGGGTGAAATCTTTGCCCCAGTGAACTCAACAGCAAAATGCTCATTGACTTTTGTGGAGCCAGAATTTCTCCCCTTATGTATTAAAGAACAAGGCCACACCCCATGTTTGAAAGCTATTGCTTATTGAAGTAAGTCATTAAGAAGACTGTTTGTTTGTCTTATGATTGAATACAATTTCACCATCCAGCTAGACAGCAAAACTACCATGACAGCAATCTAGTCACAATTCTTCCAAAAATGTTGTTTGCAAATTTTTGTAATTTCTGTTTCATTCCTCAGGACACTATGGATTCTATTTCCTTGTATCTCCCTCTGGTTTTTGAAGTGACATGTTGGGATTTAGATATGGGGCTTTTATTAATGAAATTAGTGATACACAGCCAAAGCTGGACACACCACCTGCAAATATTTACATCCATCCTCAATAATTATTTTGAGCAATACCTTCTGTAAATGGAGTGCCATTTATAGCCACTATCAAGATAGATTATTATCCAAGGATGTGAGGTTCGTAGGGACCACTTTTAACTCCCATCAAATTCATACAGAGCAGAGAAATTCAGAAACTGGTAAGACTGAGTTCTGAGTTAGTAGCAACAAACCCTTCAAACTTGACTCAGCTGCAGGTGAATGCATTCAAATGCACCAACAGATAAGATAAGATTTCAACCTCCCAACTACAACAGTTATAAAGGATAGTGGCTATTAGAATGTTAAACAATGTCAAGGCACACAAATAGGAAGTTTCCAGAAAACTCTTGGTTATTGCATCCATATATATTTCCAAGTATGTAGTTCAAGAGTCATGTGAATTCCATTGCAGCCAAAGTCATTTTAGTACTGGAATCTCTGCTTTCACAATTATTATTTTAAAATGCAAGGAAAAATGGTTTCTATAAAAGCAATCAGTAATAGTGCTAATTAACTTTAATGGTATTTTATTACAATTTTGATGTGCTGATGCAATCTGTCAGACAAAACAATGTGAAAGAGCGAGAGAGTGATACTATACTCTCTGTTAAGTAAAAGGGAAAAAACCACCAACTTACTGAGACAGGATCAGTCTGCTAAAAGCTAGAAAATTAAATGATTTCCACACTATGGGCTAATAGCAACAATAGCCTGAACAGGTTTGGTAATTATCCCACTTGTGGTTAGTGTACATAAAAATTGACTATTTTCTATTACTGGGAATAAACGTAATGCTTCATAATTAATGCCAACTAATATTCCCTCTACATTCTCCAGTATGAAAACAAAAAGCCAATCAATTTGTATAATATTACAATGTTCACAGAGTTAGCCTCCATTTCCAACTTTGAGTACATTTCTAATTTTGCTGGTAACAGTATGTATTAGAAGGCCTATATATTCCAGGCATTTTAGAGGCTTCACGGTGACATTTTATAAATATGTTATATTCTGTTACCCTATAAGAGTCAAAGAGGAGAAGCGGGATTGGAGACAAGAAATTTTCTGTAAAATGGGAGGTGTAAAGCTAAAAATGTACTCCGAGGTATGCAGCAAGAATTCCCCAAGCATGGCCAAAGGCCTTCCCATTTTAAAAGCTCCATTTTGCTCAGTAATGCTGCCAGTGGATAATTCTCATTGATTCTGAGAGAAGTACTTGGTGGCCTATTCACCCATCAGTGTGGAGGTTAGATGCATGGAAAGGCATGAACAAGATGATGGAAATATAAACACTATGGGTATGTCTACACTATCTTGTTAATTCGAGCTAGGTAGGCAAATCAGGCAACCGGAGTTGCAAATGAAGCCCAGGATTTAAATATCCCGGGCTTTATTTGCATGTGTCAATCCGGTCGCCATTTTTAAATCCCCCTTAGTTCGAACGAACTGCCCGCGGCTACATGGGGCAGTTTAAAGTTAATCCAAACTAAGTCCTTAGTTCAGATTAACTGTTATACCTCATTCCACGAGGAGTAACAGTTAATCTGAACTAAGGATTTAGTTCAGATTAACTTTAAACTGCCGCGTGTAGCCGCGGGCAGTTCGTTTGAACTATGGGGGATTTAAAAATGGCGGCCGGACAGGAACATTCAAATAAAGCCCAAAATATTTAAATCCCTGGCTTCATTTGCAACTCCGGTTGCCTGATTTGCCTACCTAGCTCGAATTAACGAACTACTGTAGACATACCCTATGAGAGTTAGTTGCAAAGAGGAGTTCTGATAATACCAATGCCCCCTTTTAGGGATGTGACTAGTCGACTACTCAATAAGCATATGCTTACCAGGCAGTCAAGTAGTGACTTAACTAGTCGCTCCCCCCCACTTGCTGCCTTTTTCAGAGAGAGGCAGCAAAGTGGGGGGGGGAGCAAGAGCTGGTGATGGGATGGAGCCAGCTTCAAAGCCAGTTCTCTCCCCCCCACACACACAAAGCACCATCTCTGCACAGGGGTAGGGGTGGCAAAAATGCAGCTGGGGGACCAGGCGCCAGCCGGGAATCAGCTCTCCCGGCTTGTGCCTGGTCCCAGACACTGCGCCTCTGCTTTTTGAAATGTATTAAGAGCTGCCGGGCTAACCCTGCTGCAGCTCTGCGGTTTCCCCCCCTTATCGACTAATCGAGTAGTCAATAGAAATTCCATTGACTACTCGCTTAGCTGATTAAATGCAATTTAACATCCCTACCCCCTTTGGCCCTTGATAAGCAAGAGAATAGATTCCCTGAGTGGGACTGAAGGAATGTAAAGGCAATTGGAGCCAAAGACAAATTTAGTTATTCAGTGCCTGGCCATCTTCCTTTCAGTCTCTCCAATACAGACCATGCTAACTAGGCAAAAGGCCAGTATAACAGCATACACAGAGAAGGAAAAAAAGTGTCACAGGAAGTTTGTCGTGGTCTACAGACTATACAAACCTGTGGGCCAGACAGTGTGGATCATGGAGCAAGATGCAACATAAGTGTTGAAAAATCAGGACAGTAATCAGAATGCACTCTAAATCATCTGGCTTCCGCAGGCATAAATCCCAGCACAACATCTCAGC